TTGTCTTTGGTTACTACCTTGAATCCATGCAAGACTATCTCTAATTCTTTTAATGTGATTACCTATTTCTTTTAAACCGGATTTAACTATTAAATTGATTACATGACATGCACAACGTTGGTGGAAAATAGTACCGTCACCGAATAGACTTAAATCATTTTCAAAAAATTCAATTGCTTTTGTATTGGCACTAGCATTATCTAATGTTATAGCCATTACTTTATCTCTTAAACTAAATTCATCAATTACATTTAAAATTGTGTTATATATTAAATCTGCGCTATGTGATCCTAGAACACATTTAAAACCTAATATTCTCTTATCTAAATCAAATCCTTTAAAGTAATGTCCGGTTACAGCTAAATAATCTTTATTGGCAATGGCAGACCAAATATCTGCCGTTAACGCAACGCACCCGCTAGTCGAGTGTAAGGTTTATTAATGCATCTTTTTCTTTTTTAAATAATTTTAATAAATCTTTCCTAAGAGTAGTTTTTGAAGTGAACTGTGTATTAGGATTGTGTACAACCTTAATATATCGTTGCCAATTAGGATGCTCTACAAAACTAAGTGGTTGATCTAAAGCAGCTATCATTCGCGCAACTTCCATACGATCTTCTTGCGGATCGTATTTCCAAGTGGTTAGACCACCGGTTGCGCGATCAAAAGATAATTGTGTTTGGCGGAGTTCGGGTCCGCTAGATTGGCTAAGCTTTTGAAGACACTTTTTGGAGTGTCGTCTCAAGTGTGTGGTGTCGTGAATAGTGTCGCCTTGTAATTTAGATAAACAATATTTACACTGAGCTATATGTTTAGTGTTACCTTCATTATCCACCTCGTCAATTATGTCGAAGTGATCCCAAACTGTCAAGGTACGCTTGCATTTCCTCCTGGAGGTTGCAACACTTGTCGACGCAGACGTAGATGCAGTCGCACTCGCCGTCACTTCTCCACGCCCACTATTGCGACCACGACCTCCAGTACGTCCACCATGGCTTGGATTAGTAGATTGCTGCGTAACAAACTCATTAGTGGGAAAATGCCATTCTTCTATATTGTGTTGGGCATCAACGGGAATACCACTATAACCAAAAGGATCCATTATAAAAAAATAAGATGAATTTGATAGAGAGAAAGCTTTAGAGAGATTGTGAGAGAGATTGAGAGAAATTGAGAGAGATTTAGAGAGATTGAGAGAAATTGAGAGAGATTAAGAGAGATTGAGAGAGTTTGAGTGAGAAAAATGTGTGAGGGATGAGGGGTATTTATAGGAAAATTTTAGGGTTAAAAAATGATTTTTTTTCAAAAAAAAAGGGATAAAACGGCTAGTTTTTTGAAATTCGGGCATCGAGCAGTCGGGCAAACTCTAGCAGCTCGGGTTTTCGGGTAAAATTTGGGCAAAATTCAAAAAACTAGCCATTTTCGGGTATTCGGGCAATTTGGGCAACTTGGGTTTTCGGGCAGCATTCGGGTAAAAATTCAAAAAAACTAGCCGTTTTCGGGCACCTCGGGTTTTCGGGCAAAATTCAAAAAACTAGCCGTTTTTTGGTATTCAGGCAATTCGGGCAGGCGGGAAAAATTCGGGCAAAATAAAAAAAAAAACTGCCGTTTGAATTTTTGGGCAGTTTTTCGGGCAGCGGGTCGGGCAATTCGGGCACACCCAATTTTCGGGCATTTTCGAGCAATTTTCGGGTCGGGCAGTTCGGGCATGGTCGGAAAAATTTAAAAAAATCCTGGCGGACGACGGTATACGGTGGTTAGACGGCGACGGGCAAGGGTGGACATGTCAAATTCGGGCTGCCTGAGCCCGAACCTGAATTTCTTGCTTGGGCGGGCAGAAATTGGGCCTGCCAGCCCGAACCTGAAAAAATTCAGGCTTCGGCCAGCCCGCCGACCCGAAGTTCCAGCACTAGCTGCTGTTACGATTATAAATAAATTATAAATTCTTAATCTTTTGCGGAAACTTTTACCTAAATTTCTAATTAATTATTATTTTCTTTCATTCTATCCAAAACACAAAGATGATGCAGTAGCTGTCACTATGTCTTTTTTTTTTTTACTGTCGTTCCTTAGCAATCCTTACGACTTGTTGTTTACTTAGTTAGTTTTCTTTTTGTCGTTCATTTCTTTTGAGCTGATTATAAGTGTCGTTTGCTACTGTAGCCTTATTAGGCAAGGCTTGCTTTCGTTGAGAGGGCAATATTCATTAATCACAATACAACTTTTGCTCTGAGTTTTGTTATCGGGTTTTCAGAGGTTGTCTGCAGCCTACTAGGTTCAGGGGAATTCAGACTCCTTGTCCTTTCTCCGTCCGATTCGGTCGGTAAAACTCTGTTTTGGAACGGTCGCTATGTCAAAAGATATATAAGGGAAATGTTGCATGCAGTTTGGACTGAGAATTATATTTTTTATGAACTCCCCGCTCTTATACTCACTAAAGGGAGAAGGGCTCAGGCATGAAGGCCAGCAACTGGAGAAGAGAAACATTCTAGAAGGCAGATTATAGACTTGGGAGACGTTTGGTTCATGGATAAAAATCATAAGATTAGAACCATTTTCGATTTACGTGTATTTTTTTGTGAGAGAAAACACTATAGCGAACCATAAACCATGATTTGAATTGGGGTACGAATCCCCCAACCAAACAACCTCTTGATTTATTAAAAAGGACATATGGTCTAAAATGGGAAAAAAACATAAATAGGTAATCCTATGAAATCTTTTTTCCCCTAGCATATTCTAAGGGGGCGTTTGGTATGGGGTAATCATAGGGGTGGAAATGGAAATCTTTCAGATTCTCATGTTTGGTACAATTATTAGACTTTTTTAAAACTCAGGAAAGTGAAGCCCATGGGTTTCACATTACCCCATTTTGGGGTAATCCTAATCCCACCCAATAAGGTGTTATTCAAATTCCCAAGAATCTCAAAATCATGGGAATCTCATAATAATAATAGTAATAATAATAATAATAATAGTAATAATAATAATAAAATTATTATTATTATTATTATTATTCATTTAAAAAAATATTTTTTAATTAACAACATTCTCATGCACAACCAAACACAGTAATGTAATATTCCTAGGAATTTGAGAAAGATTTCTGTATGGAACCAAACACAATAATGTATTATTCTTAGGAATCATATTACCCTGCATCACTTTCCTGAGAATATGATTTCTTATGATTACCTCATACCAAACGCCCCCTAAGGTTTTCTCTTTACCCGGAAAAAGGAGAAATCCGGAATCAAAACGTAATAAATTAAAAGAAAATTGTAACAAATTGATCAAATTTTGATGAAAACCCTAAACCCTAATACATATTACACTTATCATTAAACTATACAATATAATATGACGTGCGGCCGCCGTTTATGAAAAAAAACTCCTCAGGATATCATCTTTGCTCCGAAAAATCCAAACACCAGAATCATTACTGAAACTTCACAGATTTAACCATGGCAGTATATAAGATTTATTGCACAGAAATTGATCAATAATGTATAAAATGTAAACCCAAGCCACCTTTTATTGAATTAATTATCAGAGACATAATAAAGACAAAACAAAAAGTTGGGATAATAATCCAGGCAACACTGTAAAATCAGAAGAATTGATAGCCCACGACACTGACTGACTGACTGGCAGACCCAAAAACAAATCAACAGACTAACAACATTATAAGACGCGATCTTTCTAGGGTGGGTTGGTTGGTTGGTTTTGTTCCCTTCTCTCCGATATTATCCTTTTCATATGATCATAAACACAAGTACTAAAATCGCAATGGGATATAATCGAAAAACATATCAGGAATTGTGTGTATAACAATATTAATCTAAGATGTTGGTATAAAATTGATCGATGGATCAGTAATACCCACCACGGCCATATCCAATGCTGTTGTTGAATCCATGAGAATGACGGTTCTGCCGCGGCGGTGGCGGAGGCGCAAGCGGTAGAGAAGCCATGTTCATCATCCCATGATTATTAACAACGGGGACAGGACTATTATTATTAGTACTGAATCCACCATTCATATTGATCATATTGGTAGTCATGTTATTAGTATTAGCATTGTTATTATTATGAGGCACCACCATCATATTCCCTCCTCCTTGTTGTCCAGATCCAGAGCCACCAACCGCGGGATAAAACTGCGGTGTCTGCAGCGGTGGCGGAGGAGGAGGAACCGGGGTGTAGGCGATGACGGACGAGGCGTTGTTGACGGCGACGGAGGCTTGCATCAAGATCCGGTCGGCCTGGTGCTGAACCACTTTCTTGAGCTCCTCCAGGGATTTCTTCAGTTGCCCTAGCTGCTCCATGTCCAGCTGATCCACCGGGTTCTCCCACCAGCACTGCGCCTGGCTCGCCTTCCGCAGCTTGCTCATCTCCTCGCCGCGCTTCCGCTCCAAGTCGAGTCGCCCCATCACCTGCGCCAGCTGGGCGTTGAGTTCCCGGAGGTTGGCGTTCCGGTGGGCCTCGATCAACTGCAGCGTCCCGTTTCCGGCGCCGGTGCCGACGCCTGAGACGTCGCCGGCAGAGACCATCTGATCGGCGGGAATGAAGCGCTGGCAGTTGGAGTAGCGCTCCACCACCTCCTCCACCGACGGGTGGCCGAAGGAGAACACCTTTCGCCCCGGGGAGAACACCACCAGCGCCATCTCGGCGCCACAGAGGGTGCAGAGCTCGCTCGCCTTCTTAAAGAGGCCGGAGCGGCGCTTCGAGAAGGTGACTTGGAGATTGCTCTCGTTCTTCATTTTCACCATCTCCACTTTCTGCCGTCCCCGGTTCCCTCTCCTCAGATTGTCGTTGTTGTTGTTGTTCTCCATTCTTTGGATTAGTAGTACTAATATCACACTAACACGCTATTAGTACTTTAGCAATGGAGAGATTAAGGAATAATGTTGTGGGGTTTAATGTCTGAGAGGGGGGTTTTTATAGGGATTTTGGAAGTGTTTGTGCACTGTGATGATTTTATCATTTGCTGTCAATTTTTCTTAATATGGTTGATACAATATTTCTTAGCCTGTATACAATTACTAATATGCTAGTTTTGGCTGAATTAGAATTTCTGGATTCTCGACATTTTTGGTACGGCTTTCATTAAAAAATTTAATGATAAACTTAACAGGATACAGTCATTGCTTATCTTTCATGTCTAGGCGCAGTGTATGAGTACTCGATTACTGCCATGTAAGTTGTCAGTACTTATATGTATGTGTGTGTATAAATTTATACAAATATATGTAATATATAAATTATATATTGCAAGTGCCATACAATTTAAATTGTTCGGCATATATTCAACGTACGCTAAAGGTTAATTTGTAAAAATATGAATGTGTATATATGTATAATGTAGGAACATTTTATATACAAATTGTTAGACATGTAGTCCTATATTTCTCCTACGTCTTCGACGCACACAATCTGCAACACATGTGCATATATATATATATATATATGTGTGTGTGTGTGTGTGTGTGTGTGTGGGCGCGCGCATGTGTACGATATTATTTATTTATATATACAATATTAGTAAAGATTTATGTAATAGTGGTGCTATATTAGCAAAGCAAAAGCAAACGGAAACTGATAGTTGATAGATCATTTCCTTATTTATGGGGCCTTTTACAGTGAAATAATATAACTAAACACGGGTTTCATATGTTAGCCTTCCTGAAATTAGTCGAGAATTTAATCCTAAATAGAATTCTTCTGGTTTTTACTTTTTCATCTGAAAACAAAAAAAGAAGATGGCAGATGTCACAAACAAAACAGTTAGACAAATTCAGATAGTATACAATTCCAAGTTACTAGAATAATGGGGTTTTCTTATATTTTTTTTCCTGCATAATGTATGTTAACTATGATTCTGATTGCTTCGAAATAAGGTATAACGAAGAGTTTTCTGAATTAATATAAGCTTGTGGAAATGGAAAGATGAAACATTTATCTCCGATGGGGAAACAAAATAAGTAATTTAAGATATCTGGATTTTCTTAAGTTACAACATTGATAACACAAACGGATAATATCTCATGACCAAATAATGGAATTAATTTACATCAAGAATGTCGACAGATGTGAAACAAATGATATTTGTTATGGTTTTCATAAATTTCCTACTAAATTACAACTGGTTTATATGATTAATTGTCGCGGTTAAATAGGTGCAATTTATTTTATTTCTAGTTTCCGAAAGAAAATGCATCTCGTTTGGAAACATATTTTAGTGCCAGTAAGGAGATATTTAATACGTTTGATAGAAATTGCTTATCTCGAGTTTATTTTATTTTATTTTCTAAAAAATTAACGTATTGTCATTAGCAATATTTTTTCCACTCGGTGCTCAATTGGTCCAAAAATGAGTTTTGATCGGGTAAATCGTGTAATCAGTATTCCCTATATTATTGATCTTCTTTGATACGATGATGCAGGACCAAATATTTGAGAAAGATAGATTAAAAAGAGAGAAGAAAAGAAGAAATTGAGAGAAAAGGAGAAATTTAAAGAGTAGAGAGGAAATTTGTATATTCAATAATTATTATCAAGGTTCAAACTTTAAAAAAAAAAAAAATAGTATCACTAGATTTATTTTAAGGAGTTTGTCCGGTAGTCCGCCCTACTGATAGTCTCAATTTTTAACCACTAGATAAGGTCAAAATCACATCAGATTGAAAAAATATGTAGAACATATAGATTTTAATACAAAGACGACTTAAATGTAAGGAATTACCGATAATTATTTTTACAGAGACTACCAGAAAAAGTCTCTTTATTTTAATTGCATTAGATTATATAAGATAAACATGACATAGAGATACACACATATTCTAAATTCTTAATTCTTTATTTCTTGTAAATTTTGTTAGAACTTTTACTAAGTAGTACAATGAGTCTACATTGTATTATCTGAGGCTGAGAAGACAATCGACGTGGCAGAAAATATGACAATATTTAAGAATAACTCTTAAAATGAAGTTTATTTTTATTTCTATCCCTTAATATTAATCCATATATTTTTACTTTTAGACTCTAAGTAATCATGGGATAGAATTTTTCTTAGAAGTGATACTTTTAATGAGTTATGTATTTAAGAATGTAGAATCCGTAATTTTATCTAAAAAGAATTACCTTATTTTTCCATAAAATTGATCAAGTTGCATTTTCCTTGGTTCGTAATTAAAGACAGACCTTTACTTAACATTATCGTTGGTCATAACGATTAGATACGAAAATGTCAAATTTGATTATATTTCACTTTAATCTTCAATTAACAGTAAGAATGAAATTACAAGGCAGTTATTTTTCCTTGGCTGTCAAAGGACTAGACATGAAAGATCAAAATTGTTTTATTCACTCAATTTAATCTCTTCAATTAACAATAAGAAAGAAATCACAAGGCGGGTCACAAAATTATTCTGGTGCAATCACCGTCAAGGAACAACAAACCCGCAACTTTAATGTTTATCTATAACTTTTTTTTTTTTTTTTGGGTCATGAATAATTTAAAACATCTGTCAATCAATGAACAAGAATGACTTTAATGTCTCTGAAAAGAAAGATCTTTCAGCTGCTGTGGATCGACCTCTGATGGTGCTCTAGTGAGCGCACATTGTGCAGTTTGTGTCTTAGGGAAAGCTATGACATCCCTAATGGAATTGGCACCCGCCAACAACATCACCAATCTATCCAATCCATAAGCTATCCCCCCTGCACCAGCAAATTATTATTATTTTGTTTTTTTGTTTTTTTACAATTCAATTAAAAGTAATCGTCGATGCGGATAAAAGTAATAATTATGATTTAAATTTCAGCCAATGGCCGAGCAATAGATGTCAATACCGTGTGGGGGAGCACCCATGTCTAACGCCTCGAGAAGATAGCCAAACTTCGCTTCAGCCTGTAGACAAAGCATTACTCAGAGTGTTTGTTAATGCTCATATACCAAAGGCCAAAGTGGGACGGATAGTCAAGGCAAACGTGTGAACCAAATTATAACATTGACAAGGAAATTTTAAATATAGTGCAATAGATTTACCTCTTCAGGGGAGATGCCAATGATTTCCAGAACTTTTTGCTGAACCTCGCGTTTGTAGATTCTCAAACTTCCCCCACCGATCTATCGATCATTGAAAGGAAAGGCAAACTATTTCGTTAAATAGGAGATGTCCTATCTAATGCTTGAAACTAGCAGCTTCCAAACAAGTGTGACTCACCTCTACTCCATTGTAAACCATGTCATAAGCTAAAGCACGAGCAGATGACAGATCTTCCATGTCTTCCGGATTTGGGGCTGTGAAGGGGTGATGCAAGGGCTGCAAAAGAAGGATTTACTTTTCTTTTTATAGGCATATCGGCAAAACTTACTCGGTCGCAAAGAAACCAAAAGAAAAAAAAAAAAGAAAAGAAAGAGATGAGGAAGGATGCACAAGTAAAGAATACAAAAGGGACAGACCTCAAGCCTCTGCTCTGAGTCATTCCACTCAAACATTGGGAAATCGGTCACCCACATAATTGAATGCCTGGACTAAATATCAGAAAAAGGGCACAAAAGGGGTATGAGATCTCAGACAGTAAGGAAGAGAAAGCTGTGATGACTGATGCACAAAGTACAGAACTTACATCGTCAACCAAGCCAAGCTCATGTGCTACAAACAATCTAAGTCGGCCTAAAGTTTTGTTAACTGACGAGTCAGGGCCTACTGCAAACAAGATTAGATCACCTGGTCTAGCGGAGCAATGCGTCAGGAATTGCTCTTTATTTGTTGGATCCAAACTAGATACTAAAGCAGGATTTCCCTCAACTTCTGCTGCAAGAAGATGTTATCAATGGTAAAACAAAATGTAGAATCTCTATCCTCTCAATAAAAAAAAAGTTAATTACAATAAATTACGTATACCATCATCCAAAACCTTCAGGAAAGGCAAACCCTTTGCTCCAGATTGTATAGCTTCATTGTAAATATCACCTTTCTTGAGAGCTGTGTTTGAATACTTTTTAGCACCTGAGGGCACGCATAGCACTTTGATAATCCCCCCACTTTTCAAGGTATCTGAAAAAACCCTGAACGGGGAATCTGAAAATATATCAGACACCTGCAGCACCAAAAAAAGGTATTTAACAACAACGATATATGTATATTTACATATTTTTTTCCCCAAAGTCACCAAAAACCATTCTAAAGAACATTTTAACCAAAAAAAGAAAAGAAAAGAAACGACCATGAATTGCAGATAAATTATGAACAAATGGAGAAGCCAAGGGAGAGATAATTACATCCTTAAGCTCAAGATCAAATCTAAGATCAGGCCTATCTGAACCATATCGACTCATGGCTTCAGCATATGTAAGCCTAGGGAAGGGGTTTGGTAGATGCACACCTTTAATCTCCAGAAAAACCTGCAGCACATGCAGCTTTCAGATCATACCCAAGAACCAGACAGCAGAAAAATGCATAGACAGATAAAATACAAGCCTGGGTAATTTAATATGCACTCATAAATCAATTGCACCGACCTTTCTAATCAAATCTTCATTGAGCCTCAGCATGTCCTCCAAAGGGGTGAAAGCGAGTTCCATATCAAGCTGAGTGAATTCAGGCTGCCTGTCTGCTCTCAGATCTTCATCCCGAAAACATCTGGATTAGAAGAGGGACTTTAATCACAATTTTCTAGAACAATTGGACAAAGAATCTCTTCCTCCATAACGACCATGCTAAAGGTCTCTAACATGAAAATTTTACCTTACTCAATTCTATTTACAACAGAAAAAACAAGACGCACAACATAATTACAAGGACTAATGAGTTTCACGAAGGAAAGCATAAAGCTCAAGGCACAACTGAAGAAGGCCTATTAAATGTAGAATCAAAACAACCGCAATCACGAAGCCAGAGAAGAACTTACCTAGCTATTTGATAATATTTATCAAAACCAGAAACCATTAACATTTGCTTGAACAGTTGCGGGCTTTGAGGCAAAGCATAAAATGTTCCTGGCTTCAAATTACATATTAGACCAAATCAGAATGACAAAAAATGGAAGTAGCCAACCCACAAGAGATTGTAAGAGCAAGAGCTATACTTCACCCAACATACTTGAGCATTTCAATATTTCTAAATAATTCTAAAAATGAGTCAAATCTCTAACAAAATTTTTCACCAAATTTTGTTCCAATTCAATGAGTGAACCGTTAATCAAATTGTCGGTACCTCTACAGAATTCTCTAAAAGTAAAACTAAATAGACAAATTTTGCATATCATAATGCACAAAGCCACGGGTGGTGCATCAATTAAATTAAGAACATAATATGGAAATACTTAAATCATCATCATCATCAAAGCACATTCCCGATATAATATGGAAATACTTAAATGCTTCAAATAATATCCCAGAAGTTGGATTAGAAGTATTTATTAATTTAATAGCAATTTATTAGTAAATAAAAAGGTTTTAATTTGGTGATTGCAAAATGAAAGGTAAAGTACCTGAACCCTTGAGGGGACCAAATAGTCCCGGGCACCTTCTGGTGTAGATCTACAGAGTATTGGAGTCTCAATCTACCTTATAACCATGAGCCAAAATCAGGATCAAAGAACTTAAAGAACCATTTTAGTTATGGAATCAATAATAAAGGAGGGTACCTCGACAAAACCATGCACATCCTCAAGGTATCTTCGAATAAGTTTCACGACATTGTGACGCAGTATTATGTTGAACTTCATTTGTTGTCGACGTAGATCAAGGCATCGATATCTATCAAAACATATATGAGCAGTAAGTGGCAGTGCTTTTAGCTTATATAGCTCCAACAGATAACCTAGGCGAAAAGGAATGAGAATACTATCTAAACTACAGGAGATCATTTCAGAGCCACCTACATATAGTGACGACCAGTGTGAAAGAAAAATTAAGAAGAAGAAGAAGTTTAAAGCTTTATGGCTTTATTCATTTTTCTTGATAATCAAATCCTATTTGCAATGAGAGAACAAAAATTCAAAACAACACAAGCAAAAATAGGCAACCAGCAACATTAGTAGCTTGTAATTGCTGCTTAAAAGTTCAAAGAAGAACCTTTACCGCTAAGTTAAAAAGAAATCTTATTGAACCAATTAATAAATAGAAACAACGAGAATGATCCAACAAATCTGAAGAAAAAAGAAATTACCTTAAGCGGATTTCCTCCTTGGCAGACTCTTTTGCGTCATCCGCAGTAGTAATCAAGAAAGGCAACTTTGATTTCACAGTGTTTAGTACTTGAACATGCTCTGCTGCAACCTGGCACACACAGAGAATGCTAGAACAAATGATAAAAAAATAAATAATAAATAAAAAAGAAACAGAGAATGAATTTCGAAAAGACAAATATAAGCACGCACAAGAGAAATTTATACCTCTATGTAACCAGTCTTCATTTTCTTATTGATCGACTCGTTCGGACGTTGCCTAACACGACCTTCCACGGAAACCACATATTCGAGCCTCAAATCGTTAATCGTCGAATGCGCATTGGGAAAATCATCAGGAAGCGTAGTAACCTTCCAAAACAAAGAAAAATCAAAACCTAATTCGAAATTTTCCCGGGAAAATTTCCGAGAACACGAACAGAAAGCCCTGAGCCTAGAAGAAGCGCAAACATCGAACCTGGACGACACCAGAGTGATCTCTGAGATTGAAAAAGGTGAGGCCGCCATGTATTCGGTGGAGCGCGACCCAGCCGCAGAGCCGGACCTGTTTTCCGACGTCGTCGACGGAGAGTTCGCCGCAAAATCCCGTTGGCTTGACCCAATCGAGCGTTTCCTTGTGAGAAAGCGGGGGCTTTGGGGGCTGAATTAGGGTTTCGTTAGGAGGAGGAGAAGAGTTATTGGAAGGTGAAATGGAGGAAGCGGAAGCAAAAAGACTTCTGTTTTGGGAAAGAACTTTGGGGAGTAACAAAGGTCTGAGAATGGCGGAGGAGAAGAGAGTGAATGGAGGTTTGGCGCGAAGGGGTATGAGAGGGTAAGCTTTGAGAAAGACGGACATGGCGTGTACGGAAGAGAGATAGAGAGAGAGAGAGAGAGAGAGAGAGAGAGGCTTTCTGTGCGTCTGAGGATAAAGAAGTGCTTTTGGAGGGTTTAAGCAAAGTCCTTGGCTTGATTGATCAAGAGACTTGGAGAGGAGGATTAGAGTGTGGGCGTCGACAACGCAAGCACGTGTGACCTTGTGACACAATCTTCTTTTTTTTTTTTTTTTTAATTTAATGCTTGGAGCATTGTTGTTGCTAAATATTAGGAGTATACTTAGGCTCCGTTCATTTCGCTGATTCGAGTTTAGAATTTGAATTTTACTATAGTAAAAAACTCTCACAAACAATCACATCTAACTTTTTTGCTACAGTAAAAAGCTCTCACATAAAATCACATCTCAATTCGAATTAAAAACTCGAATCAGCGAACTAAACGGACCCTTAAATTATAATTATTAATTTTGACGTTTGAAATTTAAATTTTTTATAAGAAAAAAATATTTTAATAAAATTAGTGGACGTTTAGTTTACAGATTCATAATCATGATTTAAAATTATTTTCGATTTACGTATATTTTTTATAAGAGAAAACACTATAACGAATCACGAACTATGATTCGAATCATGACACGAATCTTCATACCAAGTTTGAGAATATGAATATAAATTTTACATAAAATACAGAGAGATATGAAGTAAATAGTAAATTTATAATAAATAATTGAAATAAATAACATATTTTGAAATTATTTAAAGTAAATTGCAGTGAATTAAAAGTTACGTGATCAAAAAATTTTACCACGTAAATCTATTGTAAATAAAAAATTTACGAGGTAAAACATCTTTTTATTATTATTTACTTCAAATATTCTAAAATATATTATTTACTTAATTTAATTTTAAAAATTTATTATTTACTATAATTTCTGAAATAGAGGTAATAAGCAACACACAAAACATACGTGCATAACAATGTAAGAAAAATGTTTTAAAAAACTAATAGTGCTAACATCAACACTAATAAGAAGTAAATGGCATTTATGAGTCTCATATTTAAATTCACCTTTTAGTTAGTATCGTATGATATTATTCCGAGTATAAGACCTTCTTAAAGGGAAAACAGCATGACCTATACATATACCTTATTAAGTGATGATTAGTGATCTCATTCAAAATACAATTTGAATGATGAAAAGATACCTCATGAAGTAAGTGTTTAAGTATAATTTTTACAAAATATAATTATAAGTTATTGGTATTATGGTCAATTACTTCCATATCCCCAAACTTAAAGGTCACTTTTACTTAGCTTTTTTAACTTTAAATATGATCAATTGCTTCCATATCTCTTAAAATACTTCTACTTAGCTTCTTTAACTTTAAAATTCTAATTTTGTTATTTAAATTTTAAATTAGTTCTACTTAACTTATTTTATTAACATTTTTGTAAGAAAAGGACAACAAAATATGGAATCCAACCCACTTAACACCTTTTTATTAGAATTTATATTGAGAACATATTTAAAAATACCGCATGAAATTGTTTAACCTCCTTTTTTTTCATACCTTTTTTAAATAATGTTTTCGTAATAATATTTTAACCTTGTAACTCGTAACTTGTAACTTTGTTGAAAATATGGGAGCAAATCAACTGATCAACTCTAGTAAAAGAAAACTTTGCGGGAACTCCCGACCTGTATCGTAATAATATAAAATATACAAGGCCATTATAATTGTATAAGATATAGTAATACAAAAATTTATATTTTGACACAAAATTATCTTATCTTTTAAATTCTTTTTACAAGTTTCTTTGTTTTTTTAAATTTTAAGATTAAAATCTCTACAAGATAGATCAAGATGAGTGTCCAACAATGTCTCTTGATTAACAACGACCTTATCTCTTCTTAAGATTCAAACAGCTGACCTTTCTCATTTGTGTGCGACATGAACATCACCTTGATTTAGAATATGATGACGAGCTTATTGATAAAATATTATTATCAGAGACTTAGTGTACCACAAACAGTGGCGGAGCCGAGATAAAATTTCGGTGGGGGCATAAAGCATATTTTACAACAAATAAATAGAACAACAGTAAATATAAAAAATATTACCATAGTATTTCTCAATAACTATAAAATATATTACAATTACCATCGTCGAGTTTTCATATTTTGAAAGCGTTGCATAATAACTTCATTATCAATATGATCAACAATTTCTTTTTCAATGTATACAACCAAACTGTCATTCATCCATTGATCTCTTATTCGATTGCGTAATTGATTATTGACAATATTCATAGCAGAAAATACCCTCTCAATAGTAGCAGTAGCAACATATAAAATAAGTGCTAAAGTTAACAGCCGATAAACCAATGGATATACCAAATTTTTTATTGTCTCGACCATTTTGTGTGCAAGATCGCTAATGCCTTCCAATTCCATGAACTCTTTACTTGAATGCATATCAATGATATAAGTTTCAAGTTGATTATCAAGTGTCATGAGTTCTACCGTAGAAAAATCATCTTCATAATACTCAGCAAGTTAAATCAACCTTTTCTTGTCAAAAGAAGAGAATAAATCAATGGGAGACAAACACACCATACAGAGAAGCAATTCAGTATATACCTAATTGAAACGATCATTTAACTCTCGAAGTTGTATATCAATGACTGAATAAAATAGCTCCACACGAAAGTGATGCAAATTGGTAATTTATTGAGCTTTGCGTCTTGATCTACCTCGAGGTATAAAAATATCATCCATGTTGGGAATTCTAATGTTATTTTTTTTCACAAAATGAAGAGACTTGATAAAAAAAGAGAATCTCCACTCTCCCTCATCATCTGGAATTGTTGTTTGCATACTTTTACCAAGCTTATTGCATTCAAAATATCCCGATCCTTTCTCTGTAATACTACTGATAATTCATTTGTCACTCCTAACATGTTTCTCATCAAATGTAGACTAAATATGAAATTAAACGATTGCATTAATTCCAATAAATGGTTTGCTTCACGTCTTTCACGTCTTTGTTCAGAATTTGATCCATCATCAACAATCATCTCAAGAACTTCAGTTAAAGATGAGAACATGGTAATCAAACTAATTAAAGTACCATAATATGAACCCCAACGGGTGTCTCCAAAACGTTTGAGAGAAGTATGTTGATTTAGACCACGTCCGCTTAAAATCTCGCCATTTTGAAGTGCTTCGGCAAGTTTTGTAGCTTGTTTATCTTAAAGAATATCACAACGTTTAGCTGAGGCTCCAACAACGTTCACCACACTAGCAATTGAACTAAAGAGTGATGCAATTTGAATGTGTTCTTTTGCCATAACTACAAGAGCTGATTGAAGTTGATGAGCAAAACAATGAATGTTAAGTGCTTTAAGACCGTTGACCTCACCTTGCATATTACTTGCTGTTGGGAATAGTGTCCTAGAAGCATGAGATATAATAGGATATTTATTATTTAATTAATAAAAGAGTTTATTCATCATTTTATGTGCATATATTTATGAATATCAAATGAAAATTTTGTGATTATTTATGTAACCTTAAACATAGTATATAAGTGTTATATACGAGAGGATAGTGTTTAAGGATAATAATCAAAAACATTGTTCATGATGAATTTAATTAAAATTCAGAATCTTTAATTAAAACATTATTAATACATGTCATTCCCATTTAGAATGGAACGGTGTTATCCGCACTGTTAATATGTCGAGATATTGAATGAGTGTATTTCGCATAATAAGATTATGTGGAACAAGGACACAGACACAATATGAATTTCTAATAATTTTCGTTAAGCATAGAAATTCTGATTGAGTCTATCGATGGTCATATATAGGATGATCTTAATCCTGAGTTCTTAACAAACTCCTATTTATGGATTTATGTCTTTTGATTTACTCGGTATGGATTCTGAGACCCTGAATCCTATTCCTTGTATTTTGGAGACATAATGAAATAGGTAGCTGAGAATGTTATTATACGAGATGGAATCCATTCCTTCTTAAGAAAGAAGCAGATAAATAATTCTCTTGAGTGTTGATTCGGTATTTGGATTAGTAAGAGCGCTCTGGTTCATGAATGTGTTTTATGAATCACTATCCATTAGAGAATCAATAGTACTCAAGGATGCAGATATAATT